TTTTTTTTTTTCTTTTTCCAGGTTTTACGGAGGGATCCCGGTCCGGGATTGGAGATTTTTCACAAAGGGAATTTTCCTAAGGGATTATAGGCGTTTGTCCCGCTTTCGGATCGAAACTTATTATTCTTCCGATACGACGTTTTACCTACGCTCTTACGGTATTAAGGTGATAGTGGAAAATTGCAGATTCTATTGCGCAATTTTTATACACCCGAAAATCTAAATGGTATCGTCGACTAGGGATTGCGTAAATATATAACGGATATCAACTCGACAAAGCGTATCCGTTTTCGTAAAATTGAACGTGAAGTTACTTGTTTTACAATCGTTTCGCGCACTTAAACTCTATCATCTCTGTTTCGTAAACTTGGCAAGTTTAAAAAATCGAATCCATAATTTGAAACTTGGTAAAATTTCTCTATATTTCAATTTCACTCGAGGCTTTTTTTTTTTTTTGCCGCTGAACGTCCGTTAACAAAATTCAAACACTCTCGCGCTGTGTACAAACGTGTGTACCTCGACGCGAAGCCAATCGATCATGAAACCAGATTCCGCCAGTTTGGGCGACTGTCGATGGCGCGAAAACGGCGAGGCTTGTAATTAAATGGTTAAACAATTTCTATTTGCCACGTGGATCGCAAATATCGAAATCGGCGCGCACCGGTAATTCGTTGTTTACAGGGGAACGAACGACGAGGAGGACTGAAAATTATTCGAAACTCACGAAACCGCGTACCAACACCGTTGTTATTACGTTAATGGCGGAATGGAACGAGCATGGCTGGCTTTAACTTTAATAATTGCCACGTGACCGAAATGTTAAACGAACTCCTTGGAAAACTATATCCAGTGTTTTCTCTCTCTTGAAAGTTCATCGTTGCAAAAATGATTCTCTCGATCGTTCATCGTCGTGTTTTCTTTTTTTTTTTCACATCGATGGTGAAAATATTCCAAGGGTTTAGATCTTTTTTTTTTTTTTTGCTATTCAATCTTGATCAAAGTTTAAGGAAAATACAAATAAAATTACGTGTAATGTTATGTTCACGTTAATTTGGTCGTCGAAAATAAATGATTAGAGAAATCGAGTTCTAAAATATTAATAGAAACTTTTCGTATCTTTCGTCGCTCGTGTGGCAAACTTAAATCATCCACACGTAGATAACTGAACGCTTCTTCTGCCAGATGTTTATGAGATATCCGCATTAGGTCGATTAGATTTAAAACAGACGTCTTGAAATGTTTTGTCTGGAGAAAGACATAATCAATGATTCATAAAAATCCTATATAGGTATGTTGATTAAAACTTAACGAAAATAAGTAAAATGTGTGTTCAACACCACGATTTATTTATCGCCAATATTCCTATTTCGTAGTGGAGAAAAACCGTTTATAATACTTATCGAATTACGCAATGAAAAATGCCCAATAATAAATAAGCAGAAGGATCGAATATCGGCCGAGAAACGATTCGCATCTCATCATTAATAATCGGCATTATCCTCGAGCGGCAATATCAAACTTCCGCCAACAATCACGTACGAAAATGCTCTTATGAAATCTGCTTATGTAAGGCTAGCGAGGAATCAAATCCCCCCCTCCTTCTTCACGTCTCGAACAACAACTCGAGCATATAATGCATTTTGCGAAGATCCGTCTCGTCTCGAATTATCGTTTCCTAGAAAATCTAGTTCTACGAGGGCGATAATAATAATACACGAAAATCAACGCATCCCATTAATAGCGCAAACTTCGACATCTAACGATTATAACCCGATTCACACATTTCTATATATTTCGTATAACAGAAATATTTATAAGTCCTTCGTATATCCCAAGAACATGTGTTCGACACCTTATATATATTTATTACAATTATGAGGGGAAAAAAATCGTAAGTTATTCATCTATTATTATAAAAAGGAGAAAATGATTGGAGAACATGGAGTTAAGCGCGGTAACCATCCAAACGTGAACGCCAGATATGGAACCACGCAGGGCCACCGGAATTTTTGATACTTGCCCGCATAACAGAACGAGATCGGCTGACGTAATCGCGCAAGATTCTCCTGGCTATTTTTAAGTGGTAAACCAGCACGTGGCGCTGGAATGGCGAAATTCGCTCGAGGATTCCCCTCGAGTCTCTCTTCTCTTTCTCTTCTTTCCTTCTTTTTTTCTCCGATCTTTTTCTTCCCTTCTTCTCTCCCTCGGTACGCGACGGCATTATGAAGTGATGAAAAAGGTTTTTGCAAATCTCTTCGCGTGTTATTCCACGAAACCTGGTAAATTATGACTAGGCGGGATCGCTTTGACGCTTTTTTTTTTTTTTTCCAAAGTTCCTCTTCTTCTTTACGCATCATGGCGGTTCGCGTATGTTTTTTTTTTTCTTTTCCCGGTCAAAGTTTCGTTTTTCCTGCGCATAAATGGATGTTTTTTGCGTGCATATATATCGCGACGGGTTTCGAAGGGATTTTTAAGAGTTGAGATTCGTGAATTTATAGTGGATGAGGTATTGTGAACGCAGCTTTAAGCGTACGTTTATTTAGTTGTAAATACTGCGATATATGTATTTCGGGGCCTTTAGAGGTCGGTGATTTACGACAAGGGAGGAATATCGTGAATGAAATTTGAAACGATTACTCGTTGTAAATGTAAAACGTGGTAACCGTAAAACATTTTAGAATTAAAATTTACGACGAGTGAGAAATTGTGAATGCGATTCGATCCGATTCGATTCGAGTATTTATTTAATCTCAAATACGAGATTGGATGTAATGTACTGTTACAGGATCAAAAATTTATGATTTGCCATCAATGAAAAATTATGAATGCGGTTTAATTAACGTATTTATGCAAGTGCAAATGCAATATATATATATGTATTGCATTTATATATATAACGAGTCGTCCACCTTTTAAATTCAATCTTCGATTAAAAAAATCTATCTATTTATCTCGAAGTGTCGATACGAGTTATAATAAACGTAAAATGAATATTTATTTCTGAATATTTCTGAATATGTTTTAGCATTATCACGTGTAGCTGGTAAAAAATCAAGGAAATTCAAAAAAAGAAAGAAAAAAAAATTCATATCCATACGTTTCTATAACAATCTATCCATTCATTCGTACCATTTTTTTTTTTTTTTCCAAAACAATAGCAGATCGAATGGTAAAAAATTCTATACGACTCGTTAAATTATGGTATTTCATAGGGGAAAAAATATATTCGTATATTCGAGTCGACTTCTTTTTTTTTTTTTCTTTTTTCTTCTCTCCAACAATTCATACGCGTGAAACGCACGATACACGCGAAACAGAGAACGTTCTGGACGCGTTTATATTTGGTGTTTTAACGCGTCTCTATAGCGAGTTGAATGAATTATTGATGACGCCGTGGTGGATGTGATTATCGTGTATCGCATACTGGTCGTGTGCGTTATGTCACGTCTTTTTAATGTATGCAGATGACTCGAACGATGTCATCGCGGGGTTTAACCGCGGTCGAGATTTCGCTTCGAGCTTGACGCCATCGTTGTTCCGCGAAAAATTATATATCCCGATAAGGGGAAACGAGGAAACGCTTACAACATTTCGGTTATCTGAATTATATTTTTTTTTTTATCATTTCGTTCCATATTCCCCCCTCCCTCCTTTTCTCTTCCTTGTTTCTGAAGACTTCTTTTTTTGTCGATTCATTTTATTTTTTTTTTTTTCCTTCGAAAACGAGGATAATAATGAAATGGATGGTAAACAAATATGAGAATTTTTTTTAAGCAATAATCGAAAGATCAAAGATGACCCATCTATCAGGCGAAAAGGAATCTAGATAGATATAAAGAATCTATCTCTAAAATTCAATAAACTGAAACTGGAAACTGTAAAAAACTTTTACGATATTGCTATCAAAAAATATTGAGACTATGATAAGGTAAACCTGGACGGGTCGTTTTCCGCGATATCTTTATATATTTCTATCTTGTATTTTCTGTAATAAATAAATATCAAGTCTGGGGAGAAATGAACAGTTTATTATTCATTATTATACGCAATGTCGCGATATAATTCTATCGCAATTACTTTTTCTTAGACTTTATTCGAACACCATGAATGAACGTTTTAACAATGATACGACGGTTTATATATAAATATTTCTCTCCAATCAATTTTCTCCATCGATCGAAATCTATCCTAAAGTATATTACAGAACAATCCATTACAGAAATTTTGACGGAAAAAATTTGTACAGAAATCATTGTAAATCAGTGATCGTTGGTTGGCAAACGTTGATATTTGAACAATCGAAATAATTTTCCATCGCCGTCTCGATTCAATTCCCGATCAACATGGCAGTCTCGAGGACAAGGCAACACGCGTGTACGTTCGAAATTAGTTGCAGAGGCCAGATTAGGTATGGTGGGCGTTTCAATCAGTCACCAGGCATTTCAATGACGATATTAGCGAAGGTAAGTAGCCGAGACGCGGGACGTTTCCGTTATGGACGTAATATCATTAAGCTCTCGTGCAATTGCAAAACGTTGATAGATTATAGATTGACTTTGCAAATTTGCAAACGCTCCTCAACATGATATTTCACTCGTTATTTTATTTTACACGTGAAAATTCCTTGAACGATCGTTTCGAAAAGATAAACATTTACCTGTCGATCTAAAAATAGCTCAATGTTACAACAAGTACAAAAGAATTTCATTCGACTCGAATTTGATTCGAGGACAAGATATCTAAACGAATTTCTTACTTCGACTTATCTGAACGTTGATCTCTGCCGTTCGTTACAAATAGTAGGAAGAACGAAGACTACTATTAGATTAACCACTATTAGACGAATTACTTCCTCAATCAAGGCACTCGTCCTCGTAGTACAATAGATTTTTACGATATCCTTTTCGATATCCATCATCTTCACTTATCCGAATCCATCGACAAATGAATTGTGCAACGACGGTCCTCATCGATTCCCCTAATTTCGTTCGATCCAAAAATTCACCTAATCTCGAATTCCAACAAATCAACTCGAAACAGATGGAATTCCCCTACGAAGATAAGATACCAAGCAATCTCTCTTTATCCCGAAATGAATATCTCCGAAAAGTAGGATCGAATCGAAAAAAAATAGCATAGATATCGCGGTTGGAATTCGTGGAACAATT